GTTCACATGCGGACAACGCCCTGTGAAGGAGAGGATTACAGTAATATTTTAGCTGAATGCTTGTTACAGGGGTTGACAGGGTTGGATACAGGTATGTCAGCACGTTCCGGTCTTGCAGTGTTTTTATACCGGTGTAGATGCTTTACTGACCTGGTGATTACTTTAAGCTCCTTACTTATGAGACAAGGAAAGATCACGGGAGAGCAACAGGTCCAATAGAGTAACGCACATGCGGTGATAAAACACTGGATCTACAATGTGGGTACAGAAGATGTGAGAAGTGTAACGTAACATGAGTCTCCGATTTTGGGTGCTCGTTTCGTTCACGTGAAGGAACTACCTAAATTCACTGTTCATTGTCACTCACAAATATATTACTATGTGCAGGAGGTCAAATGTTTACCATCGATGGAAAGTTGCTGGCAACGATTCCCTTTGAACAGCGTAAAAAGGCATCCTTGTATTTTGAGGTGTTAAACGGTAGAAAACTGGAGTTGGCCCAAGCTGTGAAGTTGTCTAGGAAGGTCTGTAGTTTGGCCATTGATTCTATTCTTGGAACGTGTACATCGTACAGCAAGATGGCATCTTCTAGGATGGGGCTTGAGGTAACGTATGCGGAAAATAGGAATGGGGACAGAATGGCGCCCTGAAGAACAATAGAAATTGTGGTGAGTGTGAAAGAGTTTCCCCAGAATCCTGGTAAATTTTATAGGCCTGCTAAAATAATCTTTCAACAGAAGAACAACAACCGAATTTTAAACTCTAGAACTGCAGTTTGCGATTCACACAATCGGAAGCGTTGCTAAAATCCATGAAAAAGATGTGGATGGATTTGTTGTCATTATCCAATGCAAAAGCACTGTATATACCAAGGCACGCTACCTATCTAAGGCGGACCTTGAACTGCAATATACAAACGTATGAGGGTTATCAAAATGCGTCTGAGCTAAGATCCTAAGAATAAGCCTCTCAGAGGTCATGCAAGATACTGGTCATTGTTTGCAGGTTCATTTCTTTGGCACCGGTGTGATACTTGCGATTGTTTAACTGTCAGTTAAACAATGTGTTGCTTGAAGTGCAATGTGTGTGCAATTCGGCGAGAGGCTGTGCCACATAATCTGCACACATCGTGAGAATAGCAGGAGACAACCTATTCGGACCAGGTGCTTTGTTAAATTGCAACCCGACCAAATCCTTTTGCACCTCTAGGCTGTTCTCAGAAGGTCATTTATCTGTGGGTAGCTGTAACCCAGTAGAGGATATATCAAACTGAAGTATTATCCTAGTCACAAATTGAGCTGTAATTCTTCCACTTCCGGAGTCGGATGCATGACCTCGTGGCTGATTCCGCTTAACTGGTTCAGGAATTTCCATATTTCTCGAGAGTTTTGTTTCCAAGTATGCTTTGAAAACAGATATGGTTGAGGCGACGTAAGTCGATTTTTATAGCAATTTATGAAATATCGGTATTTAAAAGCCTTTTAAGACTATGCATTCTTTTTCGACATTAAACGAGAATCTATCAGCACTGATGAAAATTGTTTTAATTTGGCAGCAGGTGTAGAAGCAGAAGTTTAGGTAACTAGTTAACTGGTCACAGTTCTTCGATATGTCTGCATCAAAAAACTACAATCTGTAGAGGTAATGTTTTTATGCAGTTTTTGAGTGTTCTGGAGAAGGCATTGTCTCCACCCGAACTTTCGGTCTTTGCAACGGGTGAGATAGATAGATAGATAACAGGAGATAGTTTTACCATGATATGATCAAATGTTATACGAATGAATGCAATAATGTCGACAAAGACCGTTTCAGAATATCACTACATCCAGATAATTACCCTAGAGACCTGTATGGCACTTCGAACTGTTTACCTAGTAAATCAAGAAATCTCACAGAGGAATGTATGCTGTGGGGTTATACAGTTATCGATAAATCGTTGCATTAAAGAAATCTGGACGGAAGTGTGTCGCAGACACATAACATAAAATAAAAGATTCTCACCGTTTGTGAAGACTTCTACATGAAATGGGCGAGTGAGCTTGTGGCTCATTGTGACGTCTAAATAATTCACACCACCATCCATGTGATGATCAGGACATTCTGTGAGGAGCTTCTGATGGCGGTCTTAAGTTTGTAGAGGGGACATATCACGGGCTTTGGGCCACAATGTACGACTGCACAGAAAGACTGACGAGACGATGGTTAAATTCATGATGTCCACAACCATGTCGTCCGCATATTTTGATGAGGTTGCCTCTTCAAGGGCAAGTGTTGAGCTGATGCGAGTTGTAAGGAGGAATGGTGAGCGAATTACGCCTTGAACTGCTCCGCAGTTTGTGGAGAACGGTGAAGAACTAGCATACCATGTAGGGTAAACAAGACACATCTATTGAAATGGTCCCTCAGCAGGAATATGAGGGAATATTGAACTTCAACAGCATCTGGATCTCTCAAAGGTAGCTCACGGTCTACACAAGCAAAAGCGCTGCTGTAGCCGAACAAGCATATTCTCTTTTTGTTTCTGATGACCAGCAATGACAGCACCCAGTGTGTGCGTTAGGCCACGACACCTTGTGTAAATAACTTTGGTAAACAAACTAAATAGGGTCATCTGAACGAGTATGGTTCAGCATTCTTTCAAGGAATTTATTCTCAGTAACTTTCAGGCTGAAAATAGTTTATCATGAGTGAAAACTAATAATTGACAGGCACCGTAGGATGGATTTTGGATCATTCGGAGAACAAAGTAGCGTCGATGAAATAATGCAGATATTGGTGGACTCACCAGGAAGTTAGACTGAGCATATTGGTCGCTTGTGTTAAGTTGACACCGTCAAAGGGGCTATATCAATTTGGGTAACTATGCGAGCGCATTCTCAAGACATTTTTGCATGCCGGTAATGTGAGCCGAAACTGTGGTAAATGAGGAAGACATTTTACGGTTAAGACACACGAAGGGAGAATATTCCGGCCAGCTTTAGTTGACAATAGTGGTTTCATGATGGATGTTTGTGAGTAGTGTGAAGTTCGAAGAAAGTAGAAGCCACGATTAAAATTCACGCACAATAATATGCCTCGACGGGGAGTCGAACCGCGGTCCACGAATTTCCGGTCCGTTGCTCTACCACCTGAGCTACCGAGGGCTGACGATTAGGTGCGCAAATTTTAACACATGTCTTCTGCTTGGTGCGCGACGTGTTGCCAATAAGCTCACAGTACCTGTCCTGATGTTGCAGATCGGCTCACTCACCCGTCACTTCCCAATAGACCGAAGTTCCTGTCCTTCAGACGTCCAATGGGCGATGGTAGATTAATGATGGATGTTTGTGAGTAGTGTGAAGTTCGAAGAAAGTAGAAGCCACGATTAAAATTCACGCACAATAATATGCCTCGACGGGGAGTCGAACCGCGGTCCACGAATTTCCGGTCCGTTGCTCTACCACCTGAGCTACCGAGGGCTGACGATTAGGTGCGCAAATTTTAACACATGTCTTCTGCTTGGTGCGCGACGTGTTGCCAATAAGCTCACAGTACCTGTCCTGATGTTGCAGATCGGCTCACTCACCCGTCACTTCCCAATAGACCGAAGTTCCTGTCCTTCAGACGTCCAATGGGCGATGGTAGATTAATGATGGATGTTTGTGAGTAGTGTGAAGTTCGAAGAAAGTAGAAGCCACGATTAAAAATATGGTTTCGTTTCTGATGGTGACGGATTTCTCAGGCTCTGTCATCATGAAATTGCAACGCAGGCACCGGTACTTGTTTGATTTTCTCTTTGACACTAGTGTTGTATGAACCCGTGGCAGGCGGTAATTGTTTACTACTAAAGTGGCTTATACTAGGTGTGTTCGTTCATACATTGGATCCGTCCGCTCATCTGCGTGATTCCCATACAGTTACTCTGGAGGCATCCGCTCATCCGCGTGATTTCCATAGAGTGTTTCCCAACTGGTGTTCGTCTCTGTGTTTACTCCTCGTGCACATGGAACTGGAATCCTGAGGTCATCTCCAACTTTGGGGAAGTCGGCAAGGCTCGCTGTTGGTGTGTCAGCTTGCATCACACTACTTATATTCGTTTCAGTAGTATCTACCTTCAATCCACCACACTGTGATGCCAGCACCCGTTCGGCAATCAATAATTTAATGATATTTTTCTACAGCTTTTATAGATCATCGAGAGTCTAGGTCAAGCAATAGGCACTTTTTTGAGTGCAACGGGAGATAGTTCATTCGAATCAATTGCTTTGTTGACTTTAGCTGCCTCTTTTTCATACACGGTTTCACTGTCGATTGGACGCAATCGGGAAGAGGATGTGTCGGTAAGGAGCTAATTTTAAAGTAATCGAAGTTGGGATTCAACGCATTTGCATTCACATCTTGCTTCAGGGCTTACCAAGCGGCTTCACACAGTTGCATCCGCATCTGCCAGACACAGGACAGCCTCTATTTCCGTTTATAGCTAAGATAGCACAACTTTTCCTTGATAGAAGTAGAGAGATTTTACTGTATCATGGCCTCTACTTCTAAATGCTTTCGCTTTGAATCCATGCAGCCAATAGTTGTAGAGCTGAGGATCTGTCCGCACCAACGAGCATGGACTTTATGTGTTAAAACTGAAGGTCTGGTAATTTTTCGACTGTTCACAATACATAGACTCATTCCTGTCAACAAATACCTCTAAACTTTTGTATGCAATCCTTTTCATAGTTGGCCTATGGTTCCAAGCGAATGTTACCTTTCCGCATCCGCATCCAGAGCTGCAAATATTCTCACTTATTTCGAACGTTACCTTCGTATGAATATGTGATCTTTACAACGAATATCTTCCATATGGTTTGTCTCATCATAGTCTCGTGTTGACTGCTAGTGATGACCATGATATTGACCAATGTTTACATGCTCCTCTTTCGGACCATTTTCTATCGTTCAAATTATGTTACTTAACTTGTATGTGCATTTCTATAATTTTGGGTTCCATTTATGTCCTTATCTTCACTCAGGCATTACGTTTAGTTGTATCGGTGTGCAACACGAACTCAGCAGCAACCAGTCAGGTTCACTGGCTATCTACGGACATTCCTTCCGACCAACTGCTCAAACAGTGTAATCTGACTCAACTGCGTGCTTTCTTCAGCGAATTATGCACTCTTACGGATGATGCCGCGTCTCGCTACGCAGGAACCAATTCGCGCGTCACGAGCAAATGCCCGCTTACTCTTCCACATCATCCAGGTTGTGATGGATTTCACGCGATCACCGAGTACCTTTTTGCCGAGCCCCCAGTTATACTCCTAAGCATAACTGATTTAAATATTCTGGTGAGTACTAGTTACTTATTCTCCATCCACCCATATTTCTTTCATCTTTTGGATTTTTACATGACTGATTGCTGCCTATTTTCCTGATTGTTGTTCTCTCCCTTACGTGTATGACCGAGCTCAATTAAATGCCCCGCTGAACTCGATTACTTTTTCGCACACTAGTCTGCTTTACATGTTATCTTGACTACACGACCAGAGGCCAGACGAGATGGGCACATGAACATTGTCCATACCTTTACGCCGCGGTGCAGTTAGAGGCACTCGAATTTACGGCCTTAACCACCTGCTCCTAGTATCAAATTAAAGGCCTTTCCAAAACAATCCACCACATGCACGGAGGATACTCCGAAATGCACCTCTTATTGTTATACCAAGCGTTTCTCTATGCACCCAATGACCTAGTGATCAACGCGTCCATCATCAGCCACTGTGTTTAGCGTACAACTTACAGCTCCGGCTACCTTAATCCGACTATCTTTAATCGGCTGACCATATCGTGCAGTACTGGGAGCGAATAACACCGAGAACTCTCGGATTTACCAGTGCTATGCCATTCCAGTGCGTCATCTCTCCCGACCGAGCTGCTTGATCTATTACGTCCGTATATCCAGGTATCAAACAAGGAGAACGCGCTCCTTTTCCATTTACTCGGTTGTTTCATACTTCTGGATTTCATTTGCCTCACTTTGATACGTTTATTTACCACTTTTTTGTTACTTTTCTCTATCCTTTTACCACTCTTGTTGTCCCAATGCCATAAGCTGAGACAATCGTATTCGCCTTCCACCGTTGATCATCCGAAATGAGTCATTTCATATTGCAGCTAATTCGTTTCGACTCCACCAAACATATATATATATATATATATATATATATATATATATATATATATATTCAGCTATCCTCCGTGATACGGTCTGTGCCGAGTAGCGACCGACTATTTCTGCTGGGTGATTTCAACGCGCGTGTTGGGCATGATGCATCGGTGTGGACAGATGTTATCGGTTCGCATGGCATTGGCTCAGCGAATGCGAACGGTGACAGGCTGCTCTCGCTGTGTGCCACTCACGGCCTGACGATCACGAACACTCGGTTTGCACTGAGTGCGAGTGATATAGCAACTTCGACACACCCACGGAGTGGTCACGCTCACCTGCTCGACTATGTCATCGTACGTCAGCGTGATATGCGTGAAGTGCGCATGACACGTGTACTACGTGGAGCTGAGTGTGGCACTGATCACAAGTTGGTGCGGGCCAAACTGTACATATATTTTCGTAAAGCTATGTATTACGCTCCATCCGTGAATCGGCGTAAATTTAACATTCTCTCCCTCTGTACTGTGGCGAAGCGTACTGAGCTGGAGAAGGCGATGGCTGCACGCCTGTGTGATGTGGACTGCATAGCCACAGTGGGCGACCTGTGGCACCACATTCGCGATCAGGTGACAGCTGCTGCCGATGAGACCATCAGGCGCACAGGCTGTAAGCGGCCTGATTGGTTTGATGACAACAATGCGACGATTGACGCACTGGTGTCGGGGAAGAATGTTGCATTTGCTGCACATATTGCAGACCTCAGTGACTTGGGAAAGAGTGGTCAGTTTCGCAAACTTCGACGGTGACTGACCCGAGAGCTCCGTCGCATTAAAAATGCATGGTGGACGGAGAAGGCGAAGCAGATGGAATGCTACGCCGAACGCCGTCAACACACGGAATTCTTTGACTCCTTGAAGGCGGTGTATGGACCGAGATTGGAGCCGCTGAGGACACTGATCGATGGTAGTTCAGGCGCTACCTGCACATAGACTGCAGACATAATGCAGATCTGGCCAAAACACTTTGACTGTCTCTTGGACAACCATTCATAGATCGACTGGCCTACATTAAACGACCTCAAGCAGCACGATGTGAAGACGAATCTGGCGGACACGCCGACACTGGATGAGACGCAGAGAGCACTTGCTCAGCTGCGAAACCGCAAGTGTGCCGGGGCCGATGGGATCCCGCCTGAAGTATTGAAACAC